AATAGACCGAACAGATTTCAGCAAAGGCAATGGCAGGCTTCAACAGTTTCCTGCCACCCCGCTTTGTGTGGAAATTGGGCAGGGCTCTGGCTCTGGCTCTGCTGATGATATTATTGGGTTATTATCCCGATGGATTAAGGATTATTTCAAAACAAATTAATTATTTATCTGAATCTTTAATTAGCCAATACTTATTTGCCTGATAGACTGGTCTAATACAAAATCACTTCGATACTGTATTCGCTAAATCTCTTGCGGAAGCTTTCGATCCAATCGCCGGACAGGCAACCACCATCGCATTTGCAGCCGAATATGTTGCACGGTCCATGGCCGCAGTAAGAGCCAACCTTGGGCTCCCCGTTGGCACAGATCTGAATGTCGCATACGTCATTTTTGAACCAGGTGCCACCAGCAGCTTCACAGTCCTCTCCCAAGATTCTGTAGAGCAGCCTTGCGCTTTCTATACAGCACTCGGCAGTGGTGCCCCTGAAGCAGGCCAGCAAGCAGACGGCGACGAGCAGGGCACCGATGATTGCTGATCGCATCGTGAACTGAGAATGACAACTCGAATTGTGCGATGCATTTATAAATATAGCAATGCAACATAGGGAGAGCGGGTAAAATGTGATTCCAGCTATCAGGCGATAATTCTCAGTCGGCTCTCTTTAATTTTAGCTCAGATAAGAAAGTTGCATGCCCATGGATGGCGTTTTCTAGTTCAGTTTTGTATTTTTTATTTATACAATAGCTTTAGCAAATATTTAATTATACATTCGTTATCGGAATACTGTGGTACGAATCGTGGAAATGGAATATAACACCATTATTCCAGGTTTAATTTCTCTGCAGGAAGAACTCTTTCCAATTACCAAGCAGACAGCCAGCCAGCATCGCATTCGCATCCAAATACATTGCACGGAGACTGACTGGAAAAGGTGCACAAGCATACCCCACACAGCCACACAGCGATGAGCAGAAGCGTGGCTGGGGAGCAGATTGCCGCCTTCATCCTGATAACAGATGAATTGCCAATGAATTCGTGGAATTTTAACGATTCCGAGAAGCTGGGAGCGATAAGCGACAATACTTGGATCTTTAATTAGCAATATAATAATATTTAAATACAGCCTCGAGGAGAGCAAGGAGAGTAGAGAGTCCCCCGAAAGACAAAGGCACTTCCAGCGTGTTTCCAAACATTTCACATTGTGTTCAGTAATCTATCATTTTGTGTGGCGTTCAAAGCGAAGTGTTGAACTCAAACAGTTTTTGTTATAAAGTGCTACGCTACTCGTATCAGAAGTGTAATAGCAGAGGCTCTTTCCTGGAACAATCCGATGACACAGATTACAGTTTGTGAGCAGTCATCGACCGCACCATCAACAGTCCAATAGCTGCAGCCCATTCACGATGGGCCAACCTTTTACAAACCAATTTGCATGCCATGTTGTGGGGTGTTTGTGTGTGCTCAGAGGAAGGCATTGTTGTAGTTTATTTACATTTAACGTGTATTACCGTGCAGCAGTTTCCACTCAAATCTGCCTGGACAGCAGCCACGTACACCATTTTTATGTGTTTCTGGTCTGGCCTGGCCAGGTCTGGGCTGCAGCTGCGGCTGCCGCACAAAGTAGCGCTCGAACATAAAACACACATAAACAAATGCATGTGGACATAAAACTGGAGCACACGCACCGGCACACGGAAAGAGAACGCTCCGGACCGCTCTCGCACTTGCAGGCATCGCTCATCGGAAGGAACATAAAATGTAGGCACTGATTACATTTGCATATTACGTATGCCGTCCCGCCCTTACGTACCGCCCTTACTCCAGCCACGCCCATGATATTGATGAGGGCCGACGGAGCGGTGCAAGGGTTAGACAGGCCGACAAGTTCCTGTTTCCAGTCCCATCCCATATCCCCGGGCACAGCCAGGAGGTTACACAGACTAGTGTTTGCATCAGGAATTTAATTTCCAACTTTAGCTTTGGCCAGGCGGTGCCCGAGCAAAGTTCGTGTTAAGGAAACTTTGTCCCTGCACCGCAGACACGGCTGTTGCCTGCCGGGGGCCACTGATCTAATAAAGGCGGGGTGGTGGGGTGTATGTGGTCCATGCACCATGTGTGTGACACTTGTTGGCAGCAATAGCAATCTCTGCACGGGATTATGCTGCTGCTGCTGCTGCAGCTGCAGCCCAAACTTTAAATTATGTAATTCAACACGTTGCAAGTCCTGTGCAGCAGGAGGATGGGAATAACGTGGATGGGCAACAGGCAACCGTAAAACCATGCAAGCGGCAAGCGGCAAGCAGACACAGGACATGCACACGGGCCACGTAGGATGTGCGCATAAATTGAAGACCCGTTCATGGTCCTGGTCGCGGCCCGGGCACCCGACCCACGGCCTTGCCGATGGATGAACGCGCCACCTGGGATCCACGAATTTCAATTAACGTACCAACATGAACGAGTTGTGCCCCTGCCTGTGGCGGCCCCCTCCTTTTGATGATACGCAATAAATTTACGAAAAAAAACCATATACCATATATGTACATACATACTCGTGTATATGTACCTGTATTTATTGGTACACCAGAGAGTGGAGAGTGGAGGTGCCCCCGACCATGGCATACTTATCGGGCCATGCTGTAATCCCCATTGAAAGTATCTCGGCTATTCTCTGGCACTCACTCTCCCCCTGCACTTTGTGTTGGCTTCCAGCTCAGGACTCACTTTATTCCGCATAGCGATTAAAATGTGACAAAGCGAATAAGCTCAGCCAGCCATCGCCCCCTATCCGGCGGACATATGGGCGGAAATTTATAATCGAGTAAATGGGATTTCATCTAAATTGCAATGCTACTGAAAATCATTTATAAACGTTGAATTAACAGCAAACATAAGACGAATCACAGCCCCCATATGATTGGAGATCGCGGGATTGTCTTTTGGGAGCCTATTCCCCGTGTGTTCCTTTTATTTTCCCTCGCCTTGACCACCTGCCGCTGTGGCAGATGGTAGTGGGATAAAGCTGGGGAACAAATAAAGTTATTACGAGTATTTTATAGTGATATTAAAGAAGAGAAAGTTGCGATTTTTTAAGCACCAATCTAGATAGCAGAGAACTGAATATAAAAACCTGAGTGGCACCAACACCAACAGCAGCACCAGCACCCAAAGCCGCTCAGTTGAGTTGGCGAGTGAATTGAATGGCTTTGGGGCCTGACGCTGCGTGCTTAGGTGTTGCATGTGCCCCAAAAGCCAAGCCACAAAATACTATAAAGGCAAACGTGCGGCAGCTAAGCAAACACACACTCGCACAGACACACTCCCGATGGTTAGGGTGGGGTGGAGGGTGGGGTTTGGGGGCTAAGCTTATTTTACAAACGCCAGAGGCTGACTTGAAAGTGAGCTTAATAGGCGGGTGGCCCCGAGAACGTGAGAGGCGCTCCGTGCCTCCGTGCCCAGGGAATAAGCTGTCGAGTGACTGACTCACCCCCCAGTAGCACTCTCTCTCTCTCTGTGTGTGTGTGTGAAGGGAATATCATTGGATTAGGGCGATTATCTTTCTCAAATATCATTTTGCACGAATGCCAACAATGTCTAAATTTCCCCGATTATATGTATGAAAGGTGGACGACCAGAGAGAGGGGGCGGGGGCGTGGCAGGGTTCAGATTGGCAGACTGGCAGATTTTCCAGCTCTGTGCCCCGAACCGCATACAAATGTTGCAGGTGTGCGGTTGCGTGCGCCTTTTGTGGTGCACCCCAAGACCGGCCGACCGACCTAACAAGGAAACCGAGAACTTCACATGCTCGAACCCAACTACTTGCACATCAGAGTCGACATCGTCAGTGGTGCCGTTGGCTATTTACTTTTATGGCTTGTTTGCCAGCTCGTGAAAAGTTTTTGGCCCCGCGCACCGCACGCCCAAGTGACCCATTAAACGAATTGAAAATGAACAACAGCTCGCCCAGAACTTCTTCAGTATGGTTTCAGTCTCAGGCTCATGGCTCTCCCTCCCTTAGTTGTGCCACGGCGCGTATGTGTAATAAATGTTGATTGAGTTGCACTGCATTGCAGCTTGGAGCGTGGTGCGGGGTGCGGGGGGATTGCTGCCGAAAGTTGCGCTCTTTGCGGTCCAACAGATTTCATTGAATTCGTAGCAGAGCTCTGCAGAATCACAAAAATCCGAATCTACAGCGCCCAATGGCAGAACTTTTGCCAGCCAAACAAGAAAACTTTGCCCCATAAGCACAAGTGTGGCCGACAAAAAAAAAAAGAAAGGGAAAGGGAAAGAGAAAGCTCGTGCCAAAACAACAACAGGCAGGCAAACGGAATAACAACACTTCACAGCCGCCGTTGTGGCGGCACGGATGGCGTATACGTAATATGCAATTAACACGACCATTTCCTTTCGGTTATAATTCAGTTTTGTTGCCGGCACAGGTGCAAAGTAAAAATATGTGGCCAATTAATGTTAATTAAATTCATATTTGGGGACCCCAGACCCAGACGAGCCAGCACTCTTTTGGCTTTTGGGTGGTCCAAAGTGCCTCATTTTCTCGAGTATCTGAAGCGCATAAATCATTTTGGGGTTATAATAAAGTGTAGCAATGATTTGTATAATTTATGCCATTTTATTGGTTGAATTCATTTGAAAGGCTTCCACTTAGAGAGCTACCCAAAAGTACATTATAAGCAAACAATTTGTTTAAGCTGTGTCAAATATTCTGGGTAAAGTTTTGCCAGAGCAACTTTCTAAATCGCATTTAAATGCCAGTTTTAGCAGCAACTCGCTCGGAAGATGCACTGTGTATTTGAGCTGGAATAATTTATGAAATATGTAGCCGGGATAGCCAGTTGCAAACATGGAGCATGCACAGCATTCCCACCCACGGGCGCTTGTTTGCATAAATTTCACGCACATTTTCAATTGCATACAATTAGGGGCCAAATGAATTTGAAATTTACTATGTATGGTGGGCTCATCCTCTCCCTCTGTATCTGTTTGTGTGTGTGTGTGTGTGTGTGTGTGTGTGTGTGTGCACATTAATGGATTCCATTCTATAATTTACGATAACATTTTGAATGCCTAAATCCCAATGACAGGCGCAAGAACAAACAGAGGATTACTTCGCATCAATAATACTGTTTGAAACATGAACTTACCTTCAGGCAAATTACTGGCACTCGCACAGATCGTTGTTGATATGTTTATAGGGGCAGAAAGTGGGAAATCGGATCGTCCTGCAATGGTAAAGCAGAAACAAACAGATTGTCAGATGAAACTTGTCGGCACTTGTTGAATGGCTGGAGCTGGCCAAACGAGATATGGCTTATTGCATAATTATGGGTAAATTATTTCGTCATTCAGTGTCAAGTGCAGACTATCGAAGGCGCTGCCCCGAAAGGCCATACCAGCCCAGAGCTGGGACTTGGTAGCTGGGGACCTGGACCTCAACACGAAAGTCGAGACAGAGACAGAGACTCGGAGATAAATAGCCAATATAATGCGCACAAATTAACATGCCATTCATCTCTTTGCCAGGCAGTCGAATTGGCTGGAGGGGCTGCTGCTGTTGCCCGGCAATCTGTGCACCCGAATGTGGGCGCAATCGTTTCTCGGTGTCCGTACACACATTCATTTATCCACATCATGTGGTGGGGGGAGATAGGGGTGGCTGGCAAACCCTTATATATAGTAAATATATGTATTATATCCACACCGGCAATGCATAATTCATTTTAAGCACCACTTACCGTTATGACGGACGGCCAAGTTGGCGATTTAAGAGCGAGTTTAATGCCTTTAATACGTCATTGGGTCAGATACCGGGGCCCAGAATCCCAGAATGGAGCCTCTGCGGCTCCTGGCCCTGATTTATGGTGCGTATACTTGATGTGGCCGCTAAAACCACACAGAATGTTTGCCAAACTTCTGCCTGTCTGCCATTTAATAAAGCCCACAATAAAACTTCAAAAACCTGAGCCAAACGAGAGACGGGGCAGGGCCTGTTGTGCGGCCGGGGGCAATCGAGGGGTAGGAGGGTTGCTGCAAGCACGAATATTATTAAATTTTATAACAATTCGATGCGTCTGAATTTCGATTGGACATAAACGGTTTAAGGTCTCCACTCGGGCTGCACACAACACAACTTTCTCGCCGGGCCATAAACTTCCGCCCAGTTGCCAGGCTGTCCAGGCCCTTTGATATATTCATACAGACTCGTAAGCCAACGGATAGTCATATCCGTCTGTGTGTGTGTGTGTGTGTTTAGGCCAAGCTCAATTTAATTTATCAAAGTCATAAACTTTCCAATGGGTAAGCCACAGAATGCCTCATAAATGCTGAGGATTCTCACAGTCTCAGGTTGTAGCTTGTTTATGGACCAGAGAATCGTGTGTTTGGGAAATTTACTATACTCGTATCTGCCGACTGCAAAGACTCTGTTCTAAGATGCTTCTAAGCCTTAAAGGGTTTGACTTAAAACTGTTGAAATAAATTGCGAACTCCATGCTACATGCTGGAATGATTTTTGCCTGATGGGGAAGCTCTATTGCTGCATACTGCCTGCTGGGTGCCGCCCACTCCACCCGATTTCTAAATACTCGACAACATAGCTATAGCTCTGATTCTAAGTGCATATACACAGTGCGACACTGTGTTTGCATTTGCCCAACTTTTGGCCACCCATCCCATCATCCATCCCAGTGGCAGTTTTCGTTGGTGGTCTAAATCTGTGAAAATTCTTCTGCTGCATGCAATTCCATTACCAACCGTTTTGGGGTCCAGCCAGCCCAGCCCGTCTATGTCTCTCTCTCCCCAATTAGAGAGCCGCTAACGACTCCTTTTAGTCGGGAGCCCATACACAGACACCCACACACACACACACACAGACACAGACACGTGGAAAAACTTTCACAAACAGCCGTTGGGCAGGGCTGGTCAGGGCTGTACAGGGCAGCGCAGGCGAGCGGAAGAGGAAACAAAAATCGAATTTTATGTCGCTCTGTCAAACACAAGCCGAGAATCTGTTTATATATCGCTCAGCGACAGGTCCTGGTCCTGGGTCCAGTGTACTGGGGTTGCTAGCTACCCCGCCTCCCTAATACGGTTAGTCCATCGACTAGAAGCCGTGGTCTGCTAAAGTTTATGCCATTTAAGCATAATTTGCTTAGCCTAGCGTGCCTGGAGATGGGTAACGAGGAACGGAACCCGACTCTCTCGGCTATGAGTAGACCGCAAACTGTCGAACCAACACGCATAAAATGCGCCAGGAATATTCTTTTCGCGTTGGCCATGCGAATACCAGTTTAAAAGGAAGCGAAGGGGACATTTTCGATCAGTCTGAACGTATGAAAGATAGGATTTCTCTTGGATTTTTCATGTGAGCACAAAGCCACATTTGCTAGGGTATCTGTAGCTTCGGGCTTGCAGCCTGCCCTCCCATTTTCTTTTTTGTTGTACTGCCAAAAGGTAGCGGCTCTCATGTGGGTACACACACCGCCTATAATTTATGCAACGCCGCATTTTCATGGCTCATCCACGCACACATACATATGTACATACATCTCCTTGAGTGCCGAAATGAAGCCGCCTGCCGGAAATCAACAAAAATTTATTGAGCATAAATTTGAATCCTGCCGATGCTTTCTGCCTGCAGCCCCCCCACTGTGGCGCATTGCTTTGTTTCCTCTGGTTTTGTTTATGAAAGCGTTTTATGGGATTTTAAATTGATTTTATTCTCATTCGTACTCCCATTTATTTGGCTCTGATTTCCTTGCAGCTTCCGTTTTTGTGCCCAGTCTTGTGGGTCTCTCTCCAAATTACAGTTGGCATACAAATGAAGACATGAAATGTCCGGACAGGGCAGGGCATGGCATGGCAGGGCGACAGCTGTTGCTTTTGTTCGGGGAGATTGTGCAGAGTGCGTGCGACCCCCCAGATGATTGATAGGCGAGAGTGGGAGGATGCGCTCAGGTATAAGGATGCTCGTCTCTCCCTCTGACCAGTCCACAGTCCAGAGTCTCATTCTCATTCTCGTTTTCATTTTCCTCGATGCTCGGCTTTCAATGGGAATTCAATGAAATGCTTTATTATTAACAAAGACACAAACTCTCCGCTCCGCCATCTTCCATTCCGATTGCCTCCCATTTCTTTGTCTAGTTTTCCACAGTCCCTCTTTATTTGTTTTTTTTTTTGTTTGGTTTTTGTTTTTTTTGGACACTGTCACTTTCAGTTGTGCCACAAAAATTGGGCGCGATAATATCTAATCATTACTTATCATTATTGGCCCTGTCGTCGCCCTCCTCCGCTGGCCATTTTCCTGTTCGTGTGGGTAATGGACATTCCTTGGGTGTCTGCCTTGATTTCCAGTCTGTCGTCCTGTATCTGTCAGACAATTCACTCGAATGCCCTCCACCCAGCCCCAACCCATCGCAACGATTACCGAGCAAATTAAATTAGTGAAAATGCCGAAACGAGGCTAAGGACTAAGGCAGGTACGAGGCAATCTAATTGAGGTTGTGGGTGGTGTGGTGTGGTGTGCGTGTCTCAGCCTCTGTGTGTGTGTGTATGTGTGGGACATATGTTGAATCCGTTAAAAATGCTAGCAGGTGTCGACAGCCAATTGGTCCCCGGGGTAAAAGCACCTCCAGTCGCATTCACAGTCGCCGCCCAAGTGCCACCAAGGCAATCGCCTTGCGCAGGCTAATTAGGTTTAATGGCCAAAGACCATTTGGCTAGTCGCCGTAGTTAAAAGTCAAATGCCAAAGGGGTTAACAAAAGAGCACGCCCACATAGGTCAAGGGTAGAGCGGGATAACAATGCGTGGGACAGTCTGTGGCAGGAAAGGTTAATATTTAAAATAGGGTAATTCCCCTTTAGTTATCTAATAAAATAAAATAATATCTAAATGAAGCCATTGCACAACTACTTGAATACGTTCAAAATGCACAGATTAACCGTATTAAAGCTGAACGTTGCTCAGAAATGTTAAGTTTACATAGGCTATACGGGAAACAGTCACACACATTGGCATGCACATGAAGTCCACCATTTTACATGACTTACACACCCAAAGCGGGTCGAAATCTTCGCTATGAGAGAGCTTTTTTCACACAAAAAGCTTCATTTTAGAGATAGGTAAAGGCAAAGAGGATATAGGAATTCTGGGAAAGAGAAAAGAGGAATTCAAATCAAAACCAACGACAGGTGAACACCCCCAATGCCTACTCGTATTCCCATTACTATTACTCGCATATCCTTGAACTGCTGGCGTGCCAGACCCCGACATAGACCCACTACTGCACGGAATCGATCAAACGCTGACTTTTGGCATGGCACCCACCTGGCAGCGAGCCGAAACCAATGCAACGCGAATTAAAGCAGGTCAGCAAACTGGCAGCGAACCAACCAACGACTGAAGGAATTTCCTCGTTTGTTAGAGTCGAAACAGCGTCAGCATGAGCGCCAACAAAATCTTCCTGCGCTACTATCCGCCAGGTGGGAAAGGTCATCGAGCCGAATCCTCAATAAATATTTTGTTTTATTTCCTGTTTCAGGTCTGGCCATTAATTACCGCACGGCAAAGGGCAGCGAGCGAGTGCGACACTTTGATCTGCTTGACCTAGATTCCAAGTAAGTAGAGTGGGCGCCATGGAGCGAGTGCCCTGAACCTAAAATCACGAATTATTCTTTGATCAGGACAAACATTGAGCCGCTGGCTGACAAGATCCTGCTACAGACACTGGCTGAGGCGGCAGAAGAGCCATCGGAGGAGGACGAGGACAAGTCTTTGCCCTGTGTGCCCGCTAGTGGCAGCGTGACCAGTTCCCAAAACACATTCAGTGCCCTGAAGCAGGCTCTGGGCAAGCTGCAGCGAAAGCTGCGGGAGCCCGTCAAGAAGAAGTTCTATCTGCACAAGTGCCACACCTCGCACATCCTGCCGCTGACCAATGTGTGCTTCGACCGCAGCGGAGAACGGTGCCTCACCGGCAGCTACGATCGCACCTGCCACGTGATCAACACCCAAACGGCAGAAGTGGAGCACATCCTCACCGGACACGACAATGTGGTCTTCTCCGTTGGCTTCAACACACCGCGATGGTGGGTATAGCTCCCACGATGACTGCCCGATCTCCGTTCTGCATTTTCAATCCCATATTCCAGCGACAAGATAGTGACGGGCTCCTTTGATTGCACCGCCAAAGTCTGGTCCGCCAGCAGCGGGCAGTGCCATTGCACCTTGTTTGGCCACACCGCGGAGCTGGTGGCGACCGAATTCCATCCGCTGCATGGCCAGGCCATTGCCACAGCCTCCATGGATGGCACGGCACGCATCTATGATGTGGAAACGGCCCACGAGCTGCAGCAGCTGACCCACCATGGAGCCGAGGTTATTGCCGCTCGCTACAATCGCGATGGGCAGATGCTGCTGACGGGCTCCTTTGACCACACGGCCGCCATCTGGGATACACGCACCAAGAAGTGAGTGCCAGGGCTCTGTTATGCTGCCAATCCTGCTAAGGAGCAACTCCTCCAACAGATGCTGCCATCAACTGCGGGGCCACAGCGCCGAGCTCTCGAGCTGCGTGTGGAACTTCAGTGGATCGCTGATTGCCACGGGCTCCCTGGATCACACGGCTCGGCTTTGGGATGTTCGGCGGTTGGATCAGGAGCTGCATCTGGTCTCCAAGCACAGCGACGAGGTGCTGGACGTGGCCTTCGATGCGGCGGGCAGACTGCTGGCCACCTGCAGCAGCGACTGCACGGCGCGGGTCTGGGCCCTGGACGAGGCCTCTGAGCAGCTGGAGATGCTGTCGCTGATGGCGGGCCACAGTGACGAGGTGTCCAAGGTGTGCTTCAGCCCCAGCGGTTGCATGCTGCTCACCGCCTCGGCGGACAACACGGCCCGTCTGTGGCTGACAGAGTCGGGACACTGCTCGCAGGTGCTGGCCGGGCACGAGGCCGAGGTCTTCAGCAGTGCCTACAGCTATGCGGGCGATGCGATCCTCACGGCCTCCAAAGACAACACCTGCCGCTTCTGGAGATGATACGACTGGTACACGGTGCAGCTAAACGAAGAGTAGCTGCCCCCAAATGGGAATGGCAATAAATCCGGAAAGATCGGCGTGGGGTGTTTTCTTGTATCAACATTTACTACAAACTCGAGCGTAATTTTGCTTTTCTCTCTCAAGGTTTCATCATCAACTTTGCTTATAAATTAATAGTTCTTAGCTTTCATTCTCGTTTCTTTCAGATCGGACATTATTGTGGATTCTCTTTGCATTTTTTTTTTTGTTTGTAAATTTTCTTAATCGCTTTCTTTCTTTCGTTCTTTTGTTTTCCTTAAGGTTTAGGCTTTACTTTTTCGCATTTCCATATATAGATAGTTACAGGTTTGTTTTGCTATTTTGGGTTTTTCCATTTTTTTTGTTTTCTTTAGTTTAACATTTTTTAATTTTTACTTTACATTATTAAGTGTTCGCAATAGGCTGGCGACATCTTTTTCCATATACATATATAAAAGTGAACAAAAAGTGTTTTTTCAGTAACAAACATTTTACAACTTACAAAAGTCCGCATGGTTTCGGAATCAATATTAATTAATACATCGTTTTTTGTTTTGTTTTGTTTTGCTTTGCTTTTAAATAATAAACGTTCTCTCTTGTACACAAATGTTTTGCGGCGAGGGGCGGGGCTCTCTCGCAATATTATCCTTCCTCAAATTGATTTCACTTCGCTTTAAATGTTAGTTTTAATTCGCGTTTTTCTCTCTTTTCCTTTACGACTAAACTGGAGGAGCTCAGAGGCGGGAACAGTAGACAGTTGGTTTGATGATTGGTTTTTTTTTTAATTGTTATTTAATGAGAAGTGACGGAACGATAGATCACACAGTCACAGACACAGTCACAGAGGTTGAAACATTCACATTGAGTTGGCCGTGGTCTGTGCTCAGACACATGTGTCTCCCCGCTTGCTTATTAAGTGTTGGTTTTCAGTGTGTGGAGTGGGGATCCTTATATATCCTTATTGGGTGGTGTGTTGGCTTTGAGCCATCCACTGCATCTTATTGAATTTCTCTGCTATCGGAGTTCGGTTCTAGAACTCATCTATCAAAGCGTCGGTATTCGTAAATTGTGTTCTGGTGTATCTGCGTAAGTGTGTGGCTGTGGTACTGTTCAGTGTGGAGTGTGGAGGCCGCGGACAGGACAGGCCTTCTCATATAAACTATAAATGTATCGTAATGCTTATTATTATCATTATTAGTAGGTTTTTCTTTAGCGTTTATCAAAGTAGAAAACTGTTTGGTGTGTGTTTTGTTTGTTTCGCATCGTTTCGTTCATGTTGTGTGTGGTTGTTGGGTGTGTTGTGTTTGTGGTTTGCTGTGGCATTTAAAGATCTTTCTGTTCAGGTTGCTGCGTTTGTTTAACTGGTTTCTATTTAATGGTTTGTCTGCAACTCAATGCGTTGGGCTCTGCAAGAAACACAAAATCACAATTATTAACACTGATGGCGCGAGAGTGTGGAGCGTTAGAAGGCGACACGGCGGGCACAGCCAGGACGCAGGCGGATTACATGTGGTTGAGGATTAAAGTAGGGACAGGGTAGAGATGCAGTTAACATGCAAAGCTTACATGCGAGCAGCTCGAAATCTCGATACGAAACGAAACGAAATGAGTAAAAGCAAGACAGGTTGTGAGACAGAGTGAGAGAGAGGCGGGAGGAGTGTGGTGTGGCATGGGAGGACAGGACAACAGCATTTGCCTTACATTTAGTATATAAGAAGCTGGGGATGTGTTTAGTTATCGTTTGTTCACTTGCTGCTTGGTTGACTGATTGTTTGTTTGATTATAGTTGGTTTGGAAATGAACAATATTAGGTATTACAAAACTCATATATCTTCAAATGCATACAGCTAGAAATAAAAGAAAGAGAATACATAGGTAAGCAAAGCTGTCGGTCGGTTGAACAATGCTTCAATGGAGCTTCCCCTCCCGATAAATGACATGCAAACGAATACGAATGGGTAATACGATTGCAATTTGGGATAGAATGAACAATGGGTGTGGTATGGATGTGGGTGTGCGTGTGTCGACTGCCGATGCGAGCGATATATATCCTGTAAATCAAGTCCACTGCTGATGGGGCTACCAACGAACGATCTACCAACTTATAAGTACAAAAGCAATTCAAAAAGAATATTGATGATGATTATGATTATGATGATAAGCGATAACAAAACGTGTGTTAGCAGTGGCAAAAGCGCGGCAAGCGTTGGTTATAGATTATAAAAGAGATTGCGTACTTCACATGGTCGATCCGGAAACTCTTGTTTGAATGTACGCTCGATAACGTGATATCTGCAATGGGAATGACAAAACGATTTACAATCAATGGGATTTATTTTTGGGACATGATCAGCGACAGCGACACTCACTTGGACTGCAAACCGCCGCCGGGTGGAAGACCTTCAATGTCGTCTTTGTTCTGCATACACTTCAGCAGATCCAGGTAATCGGTTATCTGGTTAGACTCTATCTCGTCTGCAACAAATCAGAGAATAAACAATGTTCAATGGACGTCGTTCAATGGCTCAGTTCAAGATCTTAGCTTACGAGATTTTGTATAAATAAATGTAGTTGTATGTACACATAAATGGTTCATAATAAAATACGATCGAATTATTACATATTGAAGCTACATCAAAGCAAATGCAATATATATGTTAAGAAACACTTTTTTTTGGATAAACTAGCAACTAAAATGCAAAATGTGTGGCTGGAACTGAGGGAACAAACCAAATGGTAAAAAGGTCAAACAACAGAAAAGTATATCATCCTGGCAAAGGGTTCTAATCTATTAGGGAAAGTGGGATTGGATTGGGAAAGTCCTAATTCCAATTCGAAATCATTTTCATTAGCCTAATAAACTGTGTGCACCAGGAACTAATTTATATGAAAAAAGGCAAGGAATGAATACTCTCTTCCCAGGAAAACGATTTGGATATGCGGAAAAATATACTTGAAAAGTGATTTAAATTGGAATTAGTTTTTTGGTCGTCTGGGGAGCATGCAGATGGTTGGATGGTGTGGGGAGATCTCTTTTTATACAGTTAAGAACAAAGAAAACAACTCATTGGAGACAGACTGGGGCTGGGGCTGGGGCTGTGACAGGATCTGGATAGGGTGTGGGTGTGATTGTAGGGTTTGGATTGGACTGGAGGCAAAATGGTTGGCAAAATAAAATCAAACCAATCAATCAACCAATCGATAAGATAAACGAGATAACGAAATGACAAAAATTGCTTTCGATATTTACAAACTACAAAATTATAGACGTACCTTATGCTCACACATCTTAAAATTTGTAATGCTTTCTGTTTCTTGTTCTTGCATTGTTTTTGACACGCCCATTTGGCTTATGCGCCTGCCATTTTTTCTGGCAAATTCAATTCAAATATTTGGGGATTTGCAGTACGATGCGCGAAGAACAACAACCATTAAACAACGGAATAACGCGCGAAGCTAAAATATTCTCTTTGGTAAATTACTTTAAACAATTTGTAGGGCATTAGTTGGAGGAGGCTGGCTCTTGAACAAAATAAACTCGGGTGGAAAATGACTTGATTACAAATGAAATATTCTGAATTTGTGTGAAACAAAAGAAAACTGTAAACTGTAGGAAGGCAAATTAAGGCAAAAGGCATTAACATTTTGGCTGTTTGGAGTTCTGTCTTGTGTTGTGGTGTAAATGGAAAATAAAAATAGAAAGCAGCGATTGCACATAACTGAAAACGGAATCCAACAGAAAAGCAGACAAACACTTTTTGTTTGGTTTTCGAATCGTTCATTTAACTTATATATTTTTTGTTTTGCTTTGCCATGGAATTATTTGATTGCATCTTTGGTGATTCATTAATCTATTGAGTTTGTTTGTTTGTTTATTTGTTTGGATGTGGGAGTGTCGAGTGTCACCTGTCAGGTGTAACGTGGCGGCTGCCTTACACCTACAAATATATATGCCCCTGGACCCGCAGGTCTCAGAGTTATTGCTCTCTAGTACATGGTACAGTCATACGTTGATCTCTGGGTTAGCTTCGATCGATCCAATTGGTAAATCATTGGTGATGTAAAGTAAACTCTTGCTTTCGATTACAACGAGCACAACAATTGGTGAGCATAAGGTTTACAATTTTTGCTTTTGTTTTGCGTTTGCTTTTGCTTTTCATTAAAACCTACTTGTGTATAACATTCAAAACCCTCCTAGACTACTGGACTACTTTAGGCTACTTTAATAATGGTAATTTGTCTGGACATTCGAGTATTTCATATCATCTTTGGTTAGATGCTATATATGTAAATAACTAAATAACTATACGACTATATAAATTTGTAATTATTTATCTACTTTGACCAGTGGTGGGGCGCGGCATGCGGTTTGCTATTTGCTATATTCTATATTCTATGTGTAAATTATATTGTATACAATTGGATTAAAGTAATTGTCTATGTATATCAACAACAAGGTCACACACTTCGGACATTTAGCCGAAATTCACTTGGGTGTTACGAATACTGTCGCTGGACTCCTTAGGGCTCTAACGATATCTATCCTATTATTGCTGTTTCTTCCTTTGGGGATATAATACTACAACTGAATCGATTCTGCCTGGGCCTCGCGCATATCGCTGAGCGGTTTATGTTTAGTAAAAATATATTCATGTTTGTCGGCAGTACCAGGTTAAAGTCAATGGTTCCTTTAAAGGCTTTCCCCAGCTAATTTTACAAAATATCTAATGCTGGTAACGCCACCGAGGGGTCGATGTCTTCTCTCAACTCGTTTCGCTTAGAAACTAAGTGTTAATTTGCTTTGCCTACTAGTTACATCAATTCCAATTGTTTTCTATTTATTTTGAGTGTCGTCAATACCTGGGCTCGTTTGGGATTGCAATTTTCTTTTAATTGATTTGCATCGGGGCATGTGTCATCAGTGGGTATCATTATATACATATGTATGTATGCGTTTACATGTATACACAAAGGTATATGCAGACGGGTCAATTAACTACTTAACATTGGGCTCGGGTTCATCGATAATTGTTATTAATATCTATGGTCGGTCGGGGATTGGTTGTATGCTTATGTAATGCTACAACTGAATGGGGCTGGATTTCGCGCATACATGGAACGCTTTTGGCAGTTGCTGTAGCAAACAAACACGTGTATAAATAATACTATATAGCTGGCATACACAAACACACACACACACACAGTCGTTCGGGTCAGCCGCACGCACAGCCAGCAGATATGACAAGCCAACACGCTATACGGTTATTCACTATGCATTAGCGATAGGATATGGGTAAGGTAAACACACACACACACACACGCACACACTTGGGCATTTACATAACTATATACAAATATATATATATATCAGAGTGGCATTGGTAATGGCAATGTTTTGGTTAGGTTGGGTTTCGATCTACTTGGAAGGAACTATTCATTGGAGTCGAGTGGCATTTGCATTCTCGGATATGCAGCAATATGACTATCTAAGGAGTAGGTTAGATGTTACAGCGTACTATAACGCTAGATGAGCTACTTAGGGCGGGACAGAAAGAAAGGAGGGCCTTCGTTTATCGTATTTTCCCTGTTGTATGAGTATGTGCTTGTTACTTTTAAGGTACATTGTATACGTATTTCGTCTGACCGCGCGCGTCAATTGAGTATTCGATTCAGGGGGAGAGGGAGAGAGAGAAAGAGACACACACACAGAGACTACAACGCCATAGATCAAGAGTTAACGATTAGTTATAAACAGAGTAGACGACTTAGACAACCTCTTGTGATCTTCTCGATTTGTTTCTCCAGCCGAAGCTCAGCCTCTATCGCCTCTTCGGTTGGCTTCGGTGCTCCGGGGAAGGCAATTATAATGATGCTCATGTTATCGCGGCTGCCCTGTGATTGCAAACGAAAGAGATTTGGTATCAGAGAGAGAGATAGATCATCCGAATGGTCTGTAGAGCAACTACTCACCTTGTGCAAGCAAGTGTCCACCACCTGATTGGCAATGCTCACTAGATCGCTGGTCACCTTGAGCCTCGAGTGGATGAAGCTGCACACATCCTCGTTGGTCATCACATCCCATATGCCGTCGCAGGCGAGCACCAAGAACTCGTCGGTGTCCTGGCGGCTTTGGCAGAAGATTTCCGGCTCGGGTGAGACCAGCTGCTCGCACTGCCCCTTCTCCTTGACGTTCTTGAAGTCGTAGTCGCCAAGGGCTCGGGACACGGCCAGGGTGCCGTTGACGCGCTTGATCATCACACTGCCGCCGGCATTGTGTATGCGCTCCTTCTCCTCGGGCAGAACGGGCTTGTGGTCCTGCGTGGCAAACACTGGCGCCCCCTGGCGACACAGCACGGCGCGCGAGTCCCCACAGTTGGCGATATAAACCTGCGTCGAGCTGACAAAGGCGCACACGGCTGTGGTGCCGCCGCACTTGGAATCCTTGGTGAACTCGGGCAGGTCGCGCATCACCTCGTCGATGCGCAGGAAGCCGGTGCGTATGCCCTTCACATGGTCGCCGCTTATGAACTCCTCCGTGTGCACAATGCTGTCCAGGAGATGCTTGGCACAGTGCTCCGACACCTTGCAACCGGCATGCCCATCGAACACCGCGAAGAAGCTCCAGTCGTTCAGGGCATTGTCCAGCCCCACGCGAGCATAGTAGGCATCCTCCATTTCACAGCGCCAGCCCTGCATTGAACTGACGCCAAAGAGCAGCTTGTTGCCCTCACCTTGATCATTGTGTTTGGCGGTTTTCGGCTTATCCAGGAATCCGCCCATTTCTACTGAACATACTGTGTGTGTGCTGGAGTTGGGAGGAATTGGCTGCGGTCTGCTCTCTTCTGCCACAAAGAGATGCGTGTCCTGCAAGTGAGGGAGCACCAATAGGAATTAGTGGAATCGTAATCAATATTCACCCATGCATGCATGTGTAGTCCTGCCTTGAACTTGAACTCATTGCGCGCGACAAACATTTCCCACTACTCTGGGCCCCCCCTGCCGTTACATGTGCAACTTTTGACTATATTCGTTACTTTTGTTGTTTCGCTTCCGGTTTACCAATCGATTTATCAAGGACGCGTGGTCGGTTCGGCCCTTCGCCGACGACCGATGGCTAAATTTAGCCGAAATACAGCTGCTATTGCGCCGGCACGCCCACATGCTCACATGCCCACTGAGCTGGCCTCCGCGTAGGCGTAAGCTTCAGATTTGGCTCCAATTTTTTTTTTTTTCGCGCAATTTCAGCGCGCGACATCTTTCACAGGAATTTGCCCCTCCGCGACCGATTCCTTAACAAATAGTTTTTTCACACGTGAAAAGCAAATAAAGAAAAATGGAAAATAGCTGGCGGTGCCGCGGCAACCTGGTCATGAAAAAACACACTCGGACACGAGATCTATGAACTTTACGGCGCTGAGAAAAAGGAAACCTTCACTCGCATTATTTTTCACCTCGCAAATTTACAGTTGATGGTCTTCCTCGTCGCTTGCCCGCCTTGCCGCCGCTCAACCGACGTCGTTGGCTCCTCGTTCGTAGCTTTTTTTTGCTGGTTGTGGACGTGTGTGTGTGTGCTGCTGATTCTCCTCAAGCGGGGTGCGCGTGTGTGTGATTGACTCTCTGTATTCGCGTGTGTGGATGTGTGCGTGCGCCGTAAGTAAAATTTAAGAACAAAAAATGTCTTCTGCTTTCGTTTTGCACATCACCGAAACCGCGTTTGGTGTTTGTTCGATGGGCGGACAAGCGGAGCGCTGATTAAAACTTTCGGAAGCAATATCCGTGCAGTGACGAAACGAAAATAAAATTTTTTCTAATATTTTGACAAAAAACACGCAGTGTGACCACACTGCACAGAAATACCATAAACTTGAGGCACACAATTTGGATCTATCGATATAAATCGTTTTACCAATACTATATAGCGTAGTTTTTCTGCCCTCTCTAAAATCGTATCCCATCTCCATCCCGCCGATTCTTTCGACACTAAATTATCAGAATAATAGTAAACAACTATTATAAGGACGGCAAAAAAGTCAAGCGGACCTATCGATAAAATATACCGTCTGACCCTCAGAAATATACCAAAATATACCATGTGATTATCCTGTAAAGTATATAATATACCGTAAACGGTCACCCTGGAAGTGACGCACAACAGTGCTGGCAGTTATTTAATTGATTAATTAATGGTTTTTTCCCTATAAATAGGTTAATACAAATATTTGCAATCAGCAATATTAGAGATATGTCCGATCCATGTACGCACTCATTTGTTTAATTAATTGCAAAAAATCCCTTTCAATAGAACACCCTTAATAAATATCGACTACACCAGCGATAGACTACAAGCTATTAAAATGAACTATATATTTTTAAATACGAGCATATGGAAATTATTTGGCTTGGAACAACATTGACAATAGAGTCAATTAGGAATTTCGATAGGGGCGATTCCCAGCTCTGGAACGAAGAAATTCAAACCGATAGATGGTATCGGAATGCTCATAGTGTGTCCTCTCAGCGACAGAGGGCGCAAAAAAACTGTTTGGATTTCAAAGGTGGAAACAAAAACAGTTTCTCTGATAAGATCGCCGCGAAAATTTCCCTTAATTGCCTGTTTTCCGCCGAATAGCATATCAATAAAAGATTGAGCATTAAAAGCTTAAGCCAAATAAAGTCCGAGCAAATAACATTTCTCGGAATTCTCGGGAAATACCCGTTGGGGAACTAAATAGTTAACAAATGCAGTTATCTTTCATTTAAAAAAAAATATTATGTAAAAGATAGTCATAGATAGTCATAATTCGACAAATTAATCACGCCTTCCGACGCAACATTTTATGAGCACCCGTGTGTGGGGAAGAACGCGTTCGCGGTTGATAAGAGCGCTGCTTCTATACTTCTGTTGAAAATATGAATAGTAAAAGTACACCCGATAATAGGGCTACAATAAATAACCCAATGAAATCTTAATTTGAGTGTATAAAAGGCAAACATTTCACATTTCTCGCCACACTTCATTCACCAAGCGGTTCGCGTTAAAATGTTCTTCAAAGTCTCGACTCTTCTGCTGGCCTGCGTCGCCCTGGCCGCCGCAGCGCCCGGCTCCGGAATAGCCCCTTCGACCAGCCTCATCGACTTCATGATGCAGTCGCGGGCTCTGAGAACGGCCACCACCCTCAACTTGAACTGCTTCGACTGGTATTTGCCCATCCTGAAGGGGCAGTCCGACCAGTATGAGAAGGACTACAAGGTCTGCGCCGAAAGGTTCGATGTCGAGAAATGGCTGGCCGACACCAACTACGGCATCGCCCGCAATGGAATTGACTCTCAGGCTAGGCAGACCTGCGCCGCCCTGGAGCGTTGCTCGTACCAGGCGGATGACTCGAGTGCCCTTGATTGCTATTCCAAGACCGTAAGTGAAGAGTTGCCGGAACCCCAGAATGTAATCTAACCCTTTCCCCTTCGATTCCATGCCGCGATTCGTGTAGGCTCCCGAACAATCTGCTATTCTGGCCACCATCGGCAATAATGCGACCGATCTCAACAAGCAGCTGGTCAGGGATATCGCTCTCATTAACCTAGAACTGGATTCGTGCCAGACCAAGGCCGAGAGGGTGTACAAGGAGGGCTCTGCCGCCAGCTTTGAGGAGCTGAATGCCTGCCTGGACGACGATAACTGGACCCAGCCCAACAGCACCACTGTGTCCAGTTGAACGATTGTTGGGGCTAGCTTTATACACAAAAGCCAAAGCTCTAATCACAGCATTTCAATCACTTCTGTAATCTTTTTCTGATTGTGCCTAATGCCTTCCCAAATTCCCAAATTACAGTGTGTCACATCTTGAAATTCAATGAGTCTGGTGTTTATTTTAAGAATGAATATACTCAAAGGTATACAATTGAAGCGCAGTCTTCTTTCTGTCGCATACTTCCTTAATATATGAATAAGTACTAGCACTTTTTTTTACATGGAATTCGTTCAGATAAACCGTGAAGCGTAACTTTATTTAAGCGAAGACTGGGACGGGTAGTAAGGCAGGCAAAGACACAAAACTTATTCGAAGATAAAATTGAGTCGAGAACGACACCTACTCGTACGTTGATTGTTTAATCTAATAATAAAAACAAGAGCAGCGTGTAATTAAAAGATAATGCGAGAAGGTCTGATGTGTGATGAACCGCCAGGTGCGTATAAATAGGGGCAGGGCGATCGATGTCAGGCAAGTTCTGTTCCAAACATGTATCAGAAGTCATCCCCGATCGTGGTGCTCGCCCTATGCCTGAGCGTGGCACTGGCCGCCCGCCTGCAGGCGCCACCCCACAAGCCGCAGGCTCACATCCAGGAGCTGAAGGCCGAGAACCAGGTGCTGGCCAGTGCACACAGCCAGGGGTCGAACCTTTGCTTCAACAAATACCTTCCAGTGTTGGATACCATCAACGCCGCGTACGAAACCGATTTCGTGGCCTGCATCAGCACCTATGAAAACGCCACTGTCGCCGTCCACGCCAAGTACACTTCCGATTTCGAGGAGATCGTGAATAAATCGGAGAGCTCCTGCAGTAACCTGCACGCGTGTCAATATTGGTCATATTCGACATTGCCCATCGAGGATGTGCTGTCAGGACTCGATTGCGCCAACACTGTGGTACGTGACTGACCATACATTGTACGCTCTTCCAATATCCGTTTATGCGGCTCCGATTCTTTTCAGGCTGCCGATGATGCCAAGACCTTTTACAGCATCTCAAACACTGCAACGGAGCTCGCTGCTAAAATCCAGGCGGACTATCTGACCATCGAGAGTACGAAGGACCTATGCTTGGTCGATGCGGAGAGGAACTATGTGGAGGCCACGACCACCACCTATGAGCAGTTGAATGCCTGTCTGAGGGGCGATATCGCTGTTGAAAAAACATCAACAACAACAACATGTGAACCAACAACATCAACTAAACAGCCTGCAATAATTACAACTGATGATGCTTGATGATGTTCCGATGCTCGTATTTATGATAAAGCTCATGTATAAAAAATATTTGTAAATTCAATGAATAAATAAAACACTCAGGCAAATCTAATTTGGAGTTTAAATATCTGAGAGAGATTTTGTATAAGTGTTAAATAGAGTTCTTAAGAGACTCTGTTGCCTACTGCTAACTCATTTATGGTTTGGTTTTTTATATGATGTCGCCAAAAAACAGAAACACGAATATTGTCCACCAATTTGAAAAATCTATAGCCTCATGATTTTAGCCTAAAACATATAAAATACCAATATAGTTTCAATTGGGACCGAAGGACATATGTAAGCTCCGTAAGCTTGTAATTATACCCGTACTGAAAAAAGAGTTAAGGGGTATATTAGATTTGTGGTAAAAGTGGATGTGTGTAACGCAGAGAAGGAAACGTTTCCGACCCCATAAAGTATATATATTCTTGATCAGCATCAATAGCCGAGTCGATATAGCCATGTCTGTCTGTCCGTCCGTCCGTCTGTCCGTCTTGTTGAGCGCCTGGATCTCAGAGACTATAAGAGTTAGGGTAACCAAATTTGGTTTCCAGACTCATGTGATATCACACTGCTACAAGTGTATTTCAAAATTTCGCCCCGCCCCCTTCCGCCCCCACAAAGGACGAAAATCTGTGGCAGGCACAATTTTAAAGATACGATAAAACTAAAAATGCAGTATCGTAGAGAATGACCATATCTACCAGATTGCCGAATCTGAATCAGATCGGATAAAAATTATAGCCAAAATGAAGAAATTAATTTTCTGTTGCTTCCTCTGCATCCCCCTGCCAACGACCCGGTACCTATCTCTTTCTCTCTCGCACACTCTGCCGCGTTCAGTGCGCGAGCAACCCCTAGCGGAGGAGATGTAGAATCTAAATGGAACATGTACAATCTACATGTTAGATGTATAATATAAATAGTATATGTAGATGTAGATAACCGATGTAGCAAAAAAATGTAAAATGTAAAATTTTTTTTTTTTTAATTCTAAATAATTATTTGCTTAAAAATGTATATGCTGACTGAGTACGGGTATAAGTAGAGTCGCGTCCCCAGAAGCGACTCACACGTTCCTTCTCGTTTTATAATTATATGTTAGCTTTATTTAAGTAACTAAATATACAAAAAAAAAAGAGTATAGTTTTTCTCAGAACGCATTAAACGCATTAAAACTAAAATTAATTTGTGATTTTTTTGGCTCACAGTTTGAAGAGTTTTGGATACGATTTAAGTTCGGTTATTTTTATCATTTACAGTTGGATTGCAATATATTGTGAAGGATATACAGTACAGCAAGATCGAATTAATTTAGTTCGCTATTCAAATAATTTATGGATGCTTCAAGGATTTCTCCACCAAATCCAATTTAATATTACTTAAACTTTAGGTTTCTTTGATTTCTTTGATTTCTTTGATTTATGGCAAATACAGAGCATATTTTATTTTTCGTGCGCATATTTCTGTTGCAAATATATTAATCCGATTTCAGAAGATACTAACGACAATGGAAAGGAAAACAAATTACAAATTACATTTGACACAGACTAACTTGATGGTAAAAATATACTGAGATATATTGTATAATTTGATGAACCATTAATTGTATAGAATTCAGTACATATTATATTTTACTGGAGACACGTTTTTTGTTCGATTGTATAAATCGAAAGCAATAAAGTCTTATTTAATTGGAAATGTTCGCACAAGATGGCCGGAAGGATGGATAACAACAATTAATTAAGAGATACTGGCACTTAGACTTGACATTTCCTACGACAAGACACAATTATGGCAGATAAAGATTAGGGTCTCGCATGATCGCTATAAAAGGCCCCAGCACTTATCCATACCTATCCAATTGTGAGTTCAACAACAGAGACCTCGCAATGCTTTTCAAATTCTCCCTGTTGATGGCGCTGCTCGTCGTGGGCCTGGTGCTGGGGTCTGTACCGAAACTGAAGCGTCCAACGACTCCGAAGATTCATAGATTGGAGCAACAGTCAGAGATTCTGTCGGCCCAGAATCCTGCGACAACGCAAATATGCTTTGGCTACTATGGACCCATCCTAAACGGTGTTTCGACCAAATACGAGACTGATTACTCGCTATGCGCCGAGACCTTCGAAAACTTTAGCCACGGAATATACTGCAACTGGAACTCTACGCTCTATGAACTGGCCAGCGACGGAGACTATGCATGCGATACCTTTGCCGACTGCTCCACAATTGTTGACTATTTGGAGGCGTTTGAGTGCTTCGCCAGAGTGGTAAGTGGACGATGTCAGTGGCATATTATCGAGATGGACTCACATTTCGGGTGTTTGTCTCTGTGGCTGTTTTCTAGGGTGCCCAAGAGTCCAAGGCGATGTATGCAATTTCAGCAAATGCCACCGAAGCGTCTACCTCCATTCATATGCAGCTTCAGGCGTTGGAGAACTCACTGGACATATGCCAAAATGAAGCTGAAAGACACTTTGTGGAGGATACGACCAACACGTATGAGAATTTGAATGGCTGCCTCAATGGAGATCGCCTGCCAGATGCATCTGAGCCTGCAAATACAACACCAGGTTATCTAACAACATGGTAATGGTAGTGTAACGAACTTGAAGAGCAAAAAATAAATTAGATTGTGCCTGAGGTGGTAAATCATTCTGATCAATTCCCATAGCCCATAGACCTACTGCCCGTGGACCACCCATTCGAAATTTCGTAGCCGAAACTATCCAACTAATTTCTTTTATGTCAACATTTTACGACAAACTTGTTCCCACAGACAGGCCAAGATGACCGATGTCGGGCTGGAATCGTGGCGGCTATCAATGGTCTCAACGGTCCCTGTGCGTGTGCACATCCTTATCCTTTGGCAGTGCCACACCCAGCCCAGCAACGTGTGGCAGGTACACACGGAAATCAGTTCGCCTCGGAGCCAAGCGTTTGGTTTGCCTTTGAAATGCTGCCGACATTCTTTGTCGCCGGGTTCCCAAATTTTGCGCTTAATTAATTGTGAAATATGGGCTGGAAAATCAATTGACAATTGCCAGTTTTCGCTCACAATTGAGTTGTAATCGTTGGCCAAACTCAACTTATGCAAGTGAAGTCGGGGCCAAGTAGGCGTCAAACTGTTGCTCTTGTTGCGGCTGTTGCTGTTGTTGCTGTTGCTGTTTGGAAAGGATCGTCGAACTCTGGAGCCGGTGCTGCGTTCATTTGCCGGCTGATACGACGACGTCGATGGAACTACTCGTACAATTGCCAGTCATGTCTTCATAAATTTTATTGAATTGAACCGCCTGCCGGGGCCCAGAGACCTGGGCAGACGGGGCCAGGCATTCAGTCTTCAACATGCGCCAAAAACATACAAAACGGCTCCGCGTCTGAGCGGAGTCGCAGTGGAGTCAAAGGAGGAGGATGATGGCTTGGGGGTTGGCTGGACAGGGCTGGCCAGCGGGCGGATGAGGCGGGGGAGGAGGCGGAGTGCCTAGAGTCGGCCTTTGGGGCTTGCGTCTATTCCGACCATTTCATCTTTTGCCGACGGCGTATGGCTCATGTTGTACGTAGCCTTAAATTGAATCGTTACAAATTTTGTTGCTCGTTATAGCAAGCGTTTTATTGCTTAACCAGTTTTTGGCTCAATACTCAAATGCAAAGCAGACGCAAACGCAGACATCGCCATCGCCGCTCATCGAGATCGGGCCCAGAGCCAAAACCAATCCGGAGATTATGATCGCTAAATGGTACCGAGTCCCAGTTACAGAACCGACCCCTAGCCCTCGCCCTCATTCTCGTTCGGAGCTGCAGCAGAGGAATGGCCATGGCAACCTCCTCAAACGGTAGCCTCTCGGGTACGCCCAGGCTGGCAGCGTTTAATAACTTCATTAAATGCCCTTTGACATTTATGCCAGACACACTTATTTATGTGTGTCCCAGCACTCTCTCCTATCGCCGGACAGATCGGCAGGACAGGTAGACGGCCAGTCAGGGGAACTCTATAAATTACATAATCATCTGATAAATGAAACTGTTTACAAGCCAAGACTCGAGGCAGAGGCCAGCACGCCCACAGTAGCCACCGCGGAGACGCGGTACGGGAAAAGGTCGCACGGCAGCGATCGACAATTCCCATTCGGTTGTCCTCACGATTAGTCTCTTTGCTGCTGCTGCTGCTGCTTCATTTAGTTCTATTTGATGGCATTTAGTTTTTTAAGAAGCAGCCCCGGAGTCAGAGCTAATTGCTCTAATTTCCAGCTAAGCAGACGCGATCCTGACATTCCTCTTGGCTCGCTGTATCCTTATATGTATCTCTCGCTCTCGCCATGCCATGCCATGCCATAAATATCGACTCTTGATCGGATCAGCGATCGCAGCTTGCGCCCGCCGATGCTTATCAAACAGTGCCCGAGCCCTGTCCTGGGATCCGAATTTGTCTCCGACTTTTTGTGTTTTTTCCCTCTCTTTTTGTTGTTGTTGTATTTTGTTGGGTTTTTGGCTGTCGTCGGGCCTTTTGGCAAACAATGGTTCTGTGGCCGGCATTTGAATTTGACTTGGCCAAGCTCCAGCTCCAGCTTCAGCTTCAGCATTCAAGATTTATTACGCCCAATGCCCTACAATCTTGAGGGGACATTGCTCTGGCTCTCTGCTTATCGCTGGCAGTTCTCAGCCACTCAGCTATGGGCGAGCACATGGCAACTCGAGTGGCGGACTCGAGCACTGTTTGGGGCGCTGTAATCAGAACTTTGATAGCACAAACGACTCATAATTGATCAGCTAATTGGGGCTGATGTGGAACATGAAACGGCAGAGAAGAGAGAGAGAGGAAATTATCACTATTTAATCTGCTGAGAGAGTTAATTTTTATCTGTAAATTCTAGTACTAGATATGACATTTATTTTAATCACTTTCTTATCAATCTATTTTTGTCTTAACTTACTGAGCTAATAAATTTAAAAATAAAAATAATACAAGAGCATTTAATCTTCGTCTTGATTGATATCTGCTTTCATGTTCCGAACTGCCGCTGTGATTTTTGCGTAGCCAAAAAGAAAAGAAAAAGAATAAAATCAACCGAATTGTGATCGATATGCGGCGGCAGAACATCCCGACAGAACTTCGTTATCGTTTTCATTGTTGCTGGAGCAGCCAGCACAGCACAAAATTATTATGTATCTCGAAGCGATTAACAGACGCATTTCAATTTTATTGCGCCAGATCATTATCGGAGCGCAGATTGAATGAACCTTTTTTTCTTTTCGTTTCTTTTCTTTTTGTTTCTTTTTGCTGTTGTTTCTGCCGCTGAGGCTGAAAACTGTACGACAACAAATCATTAGATCATGATCATGATCTTAACAAAATGGTAATAATAAAAACGAAAACACAACAACAGAAACCAAAACAGAAACCGAAACACAAACCGTCAAGAAAAGTCAGCCAGTTGATTTTGGCATCAAAGACAAACCGAAATTAACATCAAGGCGCGAAGAGAAACTTTCGTTGCCTTTCCAGACTGGGTCTTGTCCCCTGATTTCACCCAGTGCCACACTTTGGCCCAAAGAAGAACACCAACCTATCCTCATGATCCTCATTATGATGACGATGATGATGATCAGCAGCAGTAGCAGCAGCTAAACGGAGGGAGACGTGACATTGCGGGTGGCTTTGCTGATTAGACAACAAGTGTCTAGGCGGCCTGTTCAAAAGCCAAATCCACTAATGAGATGGCCAAATGCTCATGAAACACCGAACAGAGCCCCATTCAGAAGGTGTGAAAATCGATTGGAACACCAACTGAGGCCTGAGGCTTGAACAGGGGCAGGGTGCATGGTGCAGGGGGCACGGGGAGACACAGTGAGCAAATAAATTAATCAAAAGGAAATCGGCGTTAAAAGCAAATGAGTTACCCACCGTTGACGGCTAATTCACATATGATTTATTTTATAAATTAGGCATACGGCAGCAGAGGCAGCGGCGGCAGCGGCAGCAGCGGCAGCAGAGTCTCGCTAGCAGCAGAGATCAAAGATGGCACGCAGAACGGTGATCGCACTTAGCTCCACTCTATTGTCAAATAATCGCTGGCTTTTTGATCCCACCGCCACTGCCGGTGAGCTCCTCTCTGGTGAGCGTTCAGCTGCGACAAAGCACTTCGGAAGCGGCTTCTGTGGCCCAAAACCCAAAAACGAAGCGGTTTAATTTGTTTGTGCAGCGGCAGCGTTTGTTAATGAAACGCTAAGTGGCCAACAGTTGTTTAACCAAGGGCCAAAACTGTTTGCCTCTGCCGGATTCGCCTGACAAATTGTTTGACTCTGACTCGGCTCGAACATTTGCCTGGCAAAAGGGTTTTTGGGCTGAGAAGTTCTCTCCTTCCACTCAGCATTTATCAATTTAAGAACACAACTTTATCGCTTAATCCCCGACTTTTCCAATTATGGCACTAAGAATATGTTTTCGCCCCCACCGCCCTTGCACTGTTTGCTTTGAAATTGATTTACACCAGAGGAGGAGGAGGGTTAACCACCCGTAGCCAGAAAAAGGGCAGCCAGCCAGGCAGCCAGCAGCAACCGCCTGCCCGCTCTCTGTTTATCCCATTCGTGCCACCCCTCAACGCGCAGCTCTATGATATATGTAATTTTGATAACGAGAGCATTTAACCCAGTGAGAGGCCAGGGCATCCCCAGATTCTCCCATCATTTGCCCGCCTAACGACCGCCAGTCCCAGTCCCACTCCCAATCCCTATGCCAAAGAGCAAATCCCAAGAACCCACAAACCACCCCCCACGCACACGAAAGTCTCCGTGCCATGGCCATGGTGGTGGGATGCCGTGCCACCACATCATCCTGTTGAACTCCCTTCGTCTGTCGACGCATATTAATCCAATTATCATGCACTGTGCACAAAATCACTTAATCGTTTCGAAATGCGGAAGGCCACACCAGAATGACGGGGGAGCCAGGAGGCAGGGGCATGGCGCAGTGGGTTCCATTGGTTACACCGAAATGGTTACACTTACAGCATCAGCATAGTTCCAGCGGTGCCTGCTTAGTATTGCATTTAGTCACTGCTATGCTGATTATGATTGATGGCGACCGACAGCATAGAGGGAAGTACAATAGTTGGCAGTGTCGCCACTGTGACAGCTCCTAAATTGTTTCTAAATGCAATCATATCCAGATTAGAAGTAGAGTTAGGGATGCAACAATTGAAAAAGGTCTGAAAGAACTATGGCAATGAGTCTAAAAGAGTTGGAATTGGGAAAGAGAACTAGAACAATGTTGTAGAATTAACACTATAATTTTCACATCTATTGTAAGCTCAGAATAAATATTAAAGTACCTAAAAAATAATTTTAAAAACCAAACCAAACAAATTCTCCTTAACTCAGTGATTGATCTAATTTGTATACTCGTATTTGCAACCCTTTCAGATCAGAGCCAACCTGCGGAGCTGCACGAATATTTCGCAACGAATATCCCACGAGCCTTTAGCGAGAGCGAAACAATTTGATTTAATTAAAAAATTATGGGATTACATACATTAATGCTTGTCAAGGCAATATATATGCAAATTTCCCATACACAACGAACGAGGAGAGAGAGAGTGAGCGAGAAAACAGGATGACAGGCAGCAGACTGCGGCGAGTGTCGCATA